CGGCTCCCCACTCTGCTGGGCCTGCCTTCATGACTCTTGACTTTATCTGTGAAACGAGGCTACCGGGAGGTTCCAATGGGACAAGGTGTGTACGGAGCCCCAAAGTGGTGGCTACCAGTGCTGGTGTTAATAAGAACAGAGTCCCTGGGCTCAGAGTGGGGAACCGAAAACCCCACCAGTGGGCCAAGCTCTTTGCTTTGTACACAGCGGGATGCCGGGGTGGGGCTGGCGGCTGTGCTCTCAGCAGCATCCATGGAGTTGGACCATGAACCTGAAGGCCTCAGCCTCAGAGAACCTGCCTGGCTGTGGGCAGCAGGGTCAGCCCACATGATTCTCATCCTGGCCCTGCCCGACCCCCTTCTCTGCTGTACTCCTGTGCTGGGGCCTGAGGTCTGCTTCCCTGGTTCTAGGTCGGAGCTCAGGGGATGAGGTGTGGGTGGCTGGGTGTGCACAGAGAGCGTCACACCCCTGCGTGGGAACAGCCAGAGAGTGGGGAAAGGACTGAGCCTTCTGTTTGGGAAACAGCTTGAGCTTCCTTGTCACTGCATTGGAGCACAGAAACTGCACAGTGTTGTGACTGGACAGGTCATAATGGCACCAACGCCTCGCATCATGCAGTGCTTTCCCTTTTTATGACAGTTTACAGAGGACACTCACAGCCTCATCTCATGCACACAAACAGCCCCGTGTGCTTGTGGGCACTTTATTTATGCAGCTTTGTCTAGCTTTTTGTTAAATTGTCCAGAGCATCTGCATTAGGAGCCCCTCCGGTTCTTGACCTCACATACATCCTTAACTAAGTTTCAACTGAGTTCACTAACCAAGGTGCATACCAGAAATCAACAGTGCTGTGGAGCAGGCGTTGACTGGTCCCAAGTCACACAGCAAGTGGCAGATGTAGGATGCCTTCCCAGGTCTTTTGACTCCTACTCCATTGCTCTTCCCATGAGATCGAGAGAGATGATATAAAACATTACATTTTATAAAATTTCCCCAGAGTGAACATGATACTTGACTTCAAAGCAGTCTGATCTTTTGTACTTTCCAGATACGATATCTGGCTGTCTTTCTCATTCACACAGACTTGCATGTCAATTGATCAATTAAGAGCAAAGATATTGAACACAATGTGTACAGCACCTCCAGCGCTAACGCCAGGGCTCGTCTAGGGAGAAGCAAGGGTGGCGGAAGCAGCTGGACCAAATTGTGGGTAACAGGCACAGTTCCCACGAGCTCACGTCCAGCTGTGGAGACCCCCCTCATGCCCAGGAACAGCACCAGGGACGGCAGGAGCAGGTGTGGGGCAGGGTTTTGGGTCCTGAGGAGGGGGAGAGATCACTGAGAGTTGAGGTGACCAGGGAAGGCTTTAGGGAAGATTTGGATTTGATGAAAACTTTCAACGCTGGGCAGAAAAAGGAGGAGGTGGGGCAAAGGTGTACTTTAGGGCATGGCCAAGTGTGTCCACGGCATATCGAGGGGACAGCACAGACCCCATCTGAGCAGAGTGCCAAGTCCTGCAAGGAAAGTTATTAGGCTACTCACTAAACATCATTAGTTCTTGCCGATAAGAGCTCTAGGTGATCATTTCGTTCTCTTAAAAAGAATGCTAAGAAACAGTGGAAATAGACCAGAACAATTTACAGGATACTTCAGAACTTTGAAATATTACTTACATGTTTTATGAAATTATCTAAAAACATCTTATTGAGTATATTCTAGTCACTCCTGTAGCACTGAATTGGCTTATGGGAGCTGTCTCCCTTGGGCAGAACGGCTTTTGGCCCAGAGAACACTCTGTTCGCCGCCAGGTGCTGCTCACTTACACAGGGAGGCCTAACCCCTCTCATCTCGGAGCCTCAGTTTCCTCTGTGTAAGAGCAGGCACAGTGAGACTGACCTTCTACGTGTTTTTCCCTCCCCATCCTCACTCACTTTTTCTTTCCTTCCTTTCCTCTTTCTTCCCTCCCTTTCTGTGCTCCCTTCCTCTCAAAATCCTTTTTTTTTGTTTCCTTACTTAACACAATTCACCATGGGTGAATCATTCATTCATTCATTCATTCATTCTGGCACATCTGGAAGCCCAGCACTGTGCTTGACACGATGGGGGTTTCAAAAGAAGTACACGGTCAGTTCTTGCTCCCAAGCTTACAGTCTCACGGGGAAGACAGGGCTGAAACACAAGATGATCCAAGGGCACCAGTTAATGGAGGGACAACGGATCCACCACCAGTCACTGCCATGGGCATTCAGAGCTGGGAGAATACAGCTGGGACGGGACAGGGGGCAGGCTCCAGGGAGGAGGCCTGGCTAGCACGGGACCCCCAGCGACAGCAGGGCAGGCCTGGGGTTGGGAGCCAGAAGGCCTGGGCTTTAGTCTCCCTGACAGCCTGTAGAGATCTTAGGCAAGCCATTCACCACCCTAGTGGGTAGGTCACCCTGTGGGAGTCAGCACCTTTCTATCCATGTCTGTGCGGCAGGGTGTGCGGGGTGCTTAGAGGAGACAGTGTGCCTTGAATGGTTGTACAAACGCTGGTTTTGCTGCTCGCTACTGTGTGACCTCGGGCAGGCTCAGGAAACATACGAAGCCTCAGTTTACTCATCTAGTAAATGGGGCTGTCCGTGATGCCAGTCTCATGAGGTGGCTGTGAGGACTGAATGAGAGACTGCATGGAGAGAGCTTAGCATGGGCCCTTGCAGATACTGAGTGCTCAATGAACGGTGGCCGGTACCATCATTATTCATTATGAATAGGGCCGTGTAGAGAGAACATTCAAAGGTGAATAGCACTGAATCCCCTTCTGGGCAGTGCAGGTGGCAGGCCTGCCTGGGAACCCATGTGCGTCCTGGGGCTATGGAAATAGCATGGAGCTTCCCAGGCCTTCCTGCTGTGGATTCTCTGGGCCCCGTGTCTCCACAGTGACCCTGGCTGAGCCCAGAGCACCTCCCCAGGAGGCTGTAACTTAGCAGGGCTGGGTGGAGCCCTGTACCTGCATGGGTGGGAAATGCAAACACTGAAGGAGGCTCAGCCAGGCTTTAAGCTCAGCTGTGTCCTTTGTACTGGGGCATGGATTTCCAAGGAGGAGAGACTGAGGCAGCCAGTGGGAACCTGGGATTGTGCTGGGTGGATACCGGTTACACCAGACTCCAGGGTGTGGAAAGGGCATGGTGACTCATTGGAGCTCTATATCTGAGGGCCACAAACACATGCACCCGGCACATGGGATGGTGGCCTGTGAGCTCACAGCATGTCCACGCTCTCTGTGACAGCTGTTTAACATCACTAGTCTTTGGACAACACAACTCTACTTGAGCAGGGACTGGTAATCATAGCCTCTGCCTTTATTGAGCACTTACCACAAGCAGGTGCTGTTCTAGATGCTTTAAGCTCATTTATCCTTACAGCAACCTTAGATAGTAGGTGCTATTATTTTCTTCCCATTTTACAAAAGAGGAAACAGAGTGATCCTAAGAAGTTAAGTCACATGGTTGGTTTGTGGTGGGGCTGGGATTAGAACCCCCAAATTCACATGTAACCACAATGCTGTGCTGCTTCTCCTGGGACTCCAGAGGGTACTGGCCATCCCCTTGTGGAGCCCACCCCAGTGCTCTGCTCACCATAAACCCAATCATGTTCAGCAGCCCAGGACAGGGTTCCAGAGCAGTGGTGGAGGCAGGGGGGTGTAGCGGAGACAGCCAGACTCGAGTTGGCATCTTGGCTCTGCGATCGACAGCTGGGGGCACTTCAGCAAGCTCTTGTCATCTCTGAATATTGATTTCTTCAGCTTCGAGATGGGGCTAATAAGCTCAGGCTCACAGAGCAATTGTATGGATGAGGTGAGACCGTGGGAAAGTGCTGAACACCGAGTCTAGTTCACTTCTGGTCAGCTCATGGCTGTTCCCCATGTGGGAAGATAACTGGCATCCCTAAAAGAGTAAGCAGGACCCTGAACTGCAGTGCAGATCGGAAGGCAAGTCCCACAAGTTTCCGCCTGGTGAGGCCCCATCCCCAGCTCCACCATCTCCTCTTGCTCAGCCCTCAGCCCCCCGTGAAGGTCCCACTTGCTTGGCAGATTGGATTTGTTAGACACCTCGTCAACTTTTCCAGGCATCAGCTCGGCCAACTCCAGCAGCAGAGACAGCACTGTGAAGGTCAGGCTCTTTCGCTCCCACGGAGGCCTGTCCATCAAGATCCCCCTCCATCCCTCCAGTCAAACAACCAGAAGGAAAGGCTTCTCCATTTTTCAACTAGGGCCGGAGAAGACATGTCCTCCCATACATGGCTCTAGGTGTCACAATAGGCGGGGGCCAATTAATGGACCTCTAGTCATTTTGGCTAGAACTGAGGCTACTCAACCAGATTTCCTGGCAAGAGAAGGAGGAGGAATGTGTCCATCGAGGCTCTGTTGTACTGAGGGTGACCAGCTGTCCCTTTTTGCCTGTGACCGAGGATCCCCTGGGCTTTCAGCACTAAAACCAGAACAGTCCTGGGGAAACCAGCCATATCTTCTGGGCTTATTGAAGAGCCTTCTGTGTCTCCTTGGCCACGAGACCTGTCTCCCTGCAACAACCAGGCTTGCTCTTCCCTCTCCCGGGAGCCAACCCAGAGGCCTCCTCTAAGCCCTTGGGCCCATAAAAGGAGACAAAGCTGGAGAAAGTCGGGACAGTGGCTGGACTCCCACGCCTGCTGAACAAGGAGGCTGCGGTCTGGGCTGATGACAGGCCCCTTTGAAGAACTGACGGAGACTTGGTCCTTCCCAGCCACGTGGGGTGGAGGAGGTGAGTCTCCACGTAGCCACCAGTCCAACGGGGCTCCTGGTTTATGAGGCCGGGAAATGTTCACAGGAAGCTAAATAACAGGCTAATGAGAGATTTTAATAGAAAGTGGTATTAACTTTAATGAGGAGAAAATACTTTGTGAAGGCCAACCAACGCCCACTGGGGCAGAGATATAAGTCAGGGGTGATGAGCTGCTTCTCCACATTGGGGGTGTCTGGCCTTAGAGACCTATCACTGCGTGTGGGCCGCTGAAGCCATGGCTTCCAAATGCCTCAAGACCAACTTCACTTCAGGGTCTCTCAAGAGCCCAGGACGGGGTGGCGGGGGATCCGCTCGTGTGTCCACGATGTTCTCCAGCAGCTCTTGCCAGCTCCCAAGTGTCTCCCGTGGGGCCCGACGCTTCTCTGCATGCTCCGCTGGGCTGGGCAGAAGCAGCTACAGGGCCTCCGGCTGCCTCCCTGCTCTCTGCCTCCCTGTTGGAGGCTTGCCCACCAGCTACAGCATGGGTGGGGGCTGGTTTGGGGAGGGCATCCTTACCGGCAGTGAGAAGGAGACCATGCAGTTCCTGAACGACCGCCTGGCCAGCTACCTGGAGAAGGTGCGCCAGCTGGAGCGGGAGAACACGGAGCTGGAGAGTCGCATCCGCGAGTGGTGCCAGCAGCAGGTACCCTACATGTGCCCTGACTACCAGTCCTACTTCCGGACCATCGAGGAGCTCCAGAAGAAGGTAAGAAGTTCAGAGTGGCTTTGGCTGCCCAGGGGCCTGGTGTCACGAGCACTGCATTGGGAGCCAGAACATGTGTGGTGGTAGCTCTGCCCCCATGGGGCACTTTGAAGATCACAAGCATGTTCACATCTGTGCCCTCATTTGCTCCTCCCAACACTCTTATGAGGGAGGTATCATTAGCCCATTACACAGATGAGAACACTGAGGCTCAGGCTGGCTGGTTGAGCAAACCAGACGGCAGATCGTGTGGAGCCAGAGCTTGAACACAGGCTCTATGAACTAACTGGTTGTCGAACCTTTGCTACCACTGCCCACCCCTCTGAGTTTTAATTTCCTCATTTTTCTAAGGTGAGGGAATTGGATTTGATGTGTTTAGTGCTGATCAGGTCTCCCATAAATAACTCAGGGAAGGAAGCACCTGTTGGAGTCTACATCCCTTGAGAGTCACAGCCGGCTCACAGGGTATACTGTTGGCAACGGCCTGCTCTAGGCCCTCAGCAGGCCTGGAAGACAGGCTGACAGATAGGCAGGAAGAAGTCTTGTTCCACCATTCTGGGCCTTTCTTGCAGTTTGTCCATGCCCTTCCCTCCAACCCTGGGTTACAGGTCACAGATGCACTGCATTGGAAGGGACCTAAGAGGTTCCACAGTCTGATACCTACAGCATAGCCACAAGCCCTCATGGAGCCTCAGATGTCGGGAGTCCAGGATGGAGCCCTCTCTCCCTCCAGAGGCAGCCTCTGCCAGCTTTGGGGAGCTCCAACCAGCAGAATGTCCTTTCTTGCACTGAAGCCACTTCTTTCTGTCCCCAGACCTTGTGCAGCAAGGCAGAGAACTCCAGGCTGGTGGTGCAGATCGACAACGCCAAGCTGGCTGCAGATGACTTCAGGACCAAGTGAGTTGTCCTGCTTGCTCTGTGGTTGGGGCTGGTAGAACGGGCCACTGGTGATACCAGCACGCAAGGTCTTGGCTGCACTCAGTTGCTGAGGCATGGAGGCAGGACTCACAGCGCAGGCCAGTCTGCCGTGAGACCTGACTTAGATACAAAGAGGACATGTAGCTGCAGCTGCTCTGTTCTGCACCTGCAGGTACGAGACGGAGGTGTCCCTGCGGCAGCTGGTGGAGGCTGACATCAACGGCCTGCGCAGGATCCTGGATGATCTGACCCTGTGCAAGTCTGACCTGGAGGCCCAGGTGGAGTCTCTGAAGGAGGAGCTTCTCTGCCTCAAGAAGAACCATGAGGAGGTGAGCATGGGGGAGCAGAGGAGCATGGGGAGCAGGTGAGCATGGGAGGAGGCGAGCAAGGCAGCCAGCTGGGAAAGTTAATGCTGACCCTGGTCTGTGCCACAGGAAGTGAACTCACTGCGTTGCCAGCTTGGCGACCGGCTCAACGTTGAGGTGGATGCGGCGCCGCCTGTTGACTTGAACCGTGTTCTGGATGAGATGAGGTGCCAGTATGAGACCCTGGTGGAGAATAACCGCCAGGATGCTGAAGATTGGTTTGACACCCAGGTAGGCACCTGGAAACAGTCAGTGCAATGGAGGCACATGGCAGGTCACTGGGAAGTGACTCTGGGCTCTGAATCAAGATGCCTGAGTTTGAGTCCCCACTTTGTTTTGACCTTACTATGCAACCTTGGGCAGGTTGCTGTCCTCTAAGAAACAGTGTCCTCAGGTGTGAAATGAATGGGTTGGACTGGATAATGGGAAGGTCCTTCTTGGCTCGTGATTCCAAGTAGCCTCCTGTAGGGCTCTGAAGCTGAGTCCCTAGTGTTTCTGACCAGGTCTCGTGTGTGTGTGTGTTTCAGACCCAGGAGCTGAACCAGCAGGTGGTGTCCAGTTCGGAGCAGCTGCAGTCCTGCCAGGCAGAGATCATTGAGCTGAGGCGCAATGTCAACACCCTGGAGATCGAGCTACAGGCCCAACACAGCATGGTGAGTCCTGAAGCAGGCCTGGCTGCTGCTGGACCAAGTAGAGATGCACACTAGCCCCCTGGCTTCCATGCTCTGACCACACAGGCAGGCTCCGGGGGTTCAAGTTCTTGAGTATCAGTGATACTCTGTGCAGAGAAGAGGGAATGAGGGCCCAGCCTCAATCACAAATGCCCCAGTGGCTTCTAGCAGCCGGCATGTCCTGGCAACTCCTCTATTTGTGTAAGCAGATACATCTTCTCAGTAGTTATCAGTTACTCAGAGATGTCATAAGTAGGGAGATGCTCACTAGATCAAGGACACTCCAGGGGCTAATTGGCTCATCTCAAATGAGATCTCTGATTGTGGTTCATCCCAGCTCAAAGTAATTCTCTGAGCTGTTCTTGGATTCTGAAACCTTATGGAGACCCAGATAAGTCTTCCTTGTTCCTTCTCTGACCTCTAACCTTCTTCCTCTCTATGCAACCCTTGCCCTCACAGAGAGATGCTCTGGAATCTACCCTGGTGGAGACGGAGACTCGCTACAGCTCGCAGCTGGCACAGCTTCAGTGCATGATCACCAACGTGGAGGCCCAGCTGGCCGAGATCCGCTGTGACCTGGAGCGGCAGAACCAGGAGTACCAGGTGCTGCTGGACGTCCGGGCCCGGCTGGAGTGTGAGATCAACACGTACCGGAGCCTGCTGGAGAGCGAGGACTGCAAGTGAGTGTTGCTGCATGTCCTTCTTCTGAATGCAATCTGCAAAGTTCTGGGGAGACAGTGGGGTGCCTGGAAAAAGCCTGGTGTCTGGAATCAGGAGCCCTGGGCTTTATTCAGTTCTGGTTTTGTTACTCTAGCAAGCCCCTTTTCCTCTCTGGGTCTCTGTTTCCCCTTTGGTAAAATAAGGTGGTAGAAACAGGTGATTTTTCAGGTGTCTTCCAGTTTGTCTATTCTGGGATCTACTCTGAGTTATTGAAAACAGCAACTGGAAAATCATAGTAATTTGACTTTTTCTTTCTCCCAGGTTGCCGTGTAACCCGTGTGCCCCTGACTACTCACCCGCTAAGGCATGCCTCCCCTGTCTTCCTGCGGCCTCCTGTGGTCCTCCTGGCATAGCCCGCATGACTTGCAGCCCCCGTCCTGTTTGTGTTCCTTGCCCGGGGGGCCGGTTCTGAGAGTGGCTGGCCAAGAAGGCCAAGGCCATTGTCTCCAAGGCTGGACCTGGCCTCTGCTCAGCCCTAACCCTTACAGTCCAATCATCTCTCTTCGTGCAGTGCCCAGGCCCATAACCAACCTTAGAGTATCTCAAAGCCTATCACTAAAGCTGGCTGCCCCTGAAGGCCTCAACTCCTTAGCATTTCAATGCGTGCCAGGATCTCTGTTCTCAGGCTGCCTCCAGGGTCAGGTTTTCCTTCTGGGTTGTTCTAGTGGCTTCTATTGGCAGAACAATAAAGTGCATTTGCTCTGGCTCCTGAGGCCTAATTCGCACTGTCTGGTGTTGTGGGTTTGTCTCTGCTGGTATCAGAGGGTGACTCTTGGACAGATACACGGGGGATGTCTGATCAGGTGTGACCCTGGGGATTCCAAGGTCACTATGCCCTGTGTGGGGTGGGTAGAGGCCTACAGTGAGACTCTTTGCTTGGCTTCCCTGATGAAGACTTTTCTCCAAGATCCCAATGTGGTGACAGGAATTTCTAGACCTCTCCTACTATCTAGGTCACCTGGATGTCAGAGTAGGATGGATGAAACTGAGGTCAATACAAAGTGAAGCATTTTAGGCCACTTTATTATTATCAGCCTCATGTCTGTGGTCCTTGTAAGAGAGGTGATATGCTGTTCTACACCCAGGGGACTTTTAGGGGTGCATTTACATCAACCCTCTCTTTTATTACAGTCCTTTCATGCCGCCCTTCCAGTTCAGCAAGTCCCCTTAACAATCCAGCTCCAAACACAAGCAGGAGATGGAGAGGGAGCCCGCCGTTGAGACTTCCACCTTAATTCAGAGATTCCTGTCTCTAACAGGCTCACACATGTTCTTGTGTCCTCTTGGCATCTGATGAGGAGTACAACAAGGCACACGGTTGTGGAAGTTCCCAGCATCTTGGCCTCATTTGTGTCCAGAATGTTCTCCCCAAGTAGACCAGGCCAATACCAACTTCCATCAGTCCCAAAGGGAAAGGGAGAAGGCCGAAGGCCAAACTTTCTAAGCTAGAAAGAAAGGCAGGTCGACTCCAAATGGCCACGTGTTCCTCATAAGATGCCAAGAGCACCTGCTAAGCAATGTCAGCGGTGTTGGGCTGTAGCAGTGCCCAGGGTGGAGAACAGATTGCTGAATGATCCTGACCGAGGCGAGCCTGAGACGCCTGCCCCTTAAGCGTGTCTGTTTAGCTCACCCTGACCCAGATGCAAAATCCTCCCCTTTCTATCTCCCCGTAAAGGAGAGCCTGGGCTTTTGGTTTCTGCCAGCCCTCTGGCTCCTGGCATCCTGTGCCGCCTACCCCCTGGTCTTCTAGGAACTCTGCAGCTGGTTTTGCTGAGGCTCAGGCACCTGAAGGGGGTGGCGGTCTCAGGATCATTCAGTCCATTCCACAAACCCTTATCAAGTGCCAACCTGTGCCAGGCAGTGTGTGTTAGGCACCAGGGGTAGGATTGGTCTGCGTGGGAGGGAGGCCTTGGGACAGGACAGGAAGGACGCTCACTATTTCTTTTCCTTTGTACTTCAGTGGTGGGAGGAGGCCAGCTAAAGCAGGTCATGATATTAGGTATCAAATGTGGGCTCAGAATGTGGAGTCAGGCTGACCTGGGTTCAAATTCCCACCCCACCGCTAACTGCACATGGGAGCTTTAGCAGGTCGTAGTCCTTTCTGAGTCTGTTTCCTCCTCAGTAAAATTGGGAACATGACACGCTGTAAAGTCCCTGATGCTTTGCTAAGCATATGCTGGAAATTTGAAATCTGTCAATATTGACTCTCCTCTAGCTGGTGCCTGGGTTGCTCTGAGGGTGCACGCTTACCTTTTCCCTGTCCAGGGTTTCAATTCTGCGGTTTCCTTCTAGGCAGCAGTGCCCAGAATAACCAGGCCAGCTAAAGTGGAGATGCAGTTACATGATTTGTTATCTAACTCTGGTTATGACCAAAGTCAGTGGGAGAAGTCACAGTTGGCAGTGAACAGATGCTGTCTTGAGCACACAGGCTCCAATAACATGTAACATGTTTTACATGTTACACTCTTCTTCATGGCATTCTTTGCAGCATAAACCACTTTGAATCTATCCTAACTCCCTCCAAGATGGAGCTAACCAGATCATGTGTAACCCTGCCTCTAATTACCACCAACTTCATTGTTTGTGCTCTTTAATTATAATGCTGTGTTCTCAAACCTGGCTGCACATTAAATGAGCTAGAGAGCTTAACAACACTGATGCCTGCTCTGACCCCAGAAATTCTGGTTTGGTTCATCTAAGGTATGATCTGGCACTGGGATTCTTGAAAGCCCTTTAGGTGATTAGATGAAGGGTCTTTCGGCAGCACAACTGGGAGGATGGGGGCTCAGCCCTGACATAGACCTTAATACTCTCAGGTCTGATTCCTATTGTACTTTTGACTATTCCTAAGTCCTGCCTTTTCTCTGTCCTTTGATTTCAAACATTTTGAACTGAATTTCTAATTTCAGTTATCATATTTTTGTTTCCAAAGAGCCATTTTTTGTTTTCTATTTATTTTTATAACATCCAGCTCTTGTTTCATGACGTAACTACTATACTTATCTTTGAGGTTATTACTAAAAAAAAAAAATATATATATATATATATATATGTTTTAGATTCTACATTGTTTCTGTTTTCCCCAATTTCCTTTTTATAGTTTGTTTGTTTTACTTCATCTCTGTTTTTTTTTTTTTTCCTTTTTGTCTTTTTTTCCTGACCGGTAAAGGGATCGCAACCCTCAGTGTCGCGCCCGCACCATGCTCAGCCAGTGAGCGGACCGGTCTCTATATGGGATCCGAACCCTCGGTGGGAGCGCCGCCGCGCTCCCAAGCGCCGCACTCTACCGAGTGCGCCACCGGGCCGGCCCTCTGTTTTGTTTTTAATGTTGGAAGCGTCCCTCAAATGTCTGGTGATCCTTTTGTTTATATTTAATGAGGAGACACTGAAAAGCTGATAGAAAGTGCTGTGTGTATGGGCATTTGGCAAACTGGCGTTTTGGATGGTAGAATTGCTTAAATTCAGTTTTTGTAAGTCTTTTCTCTGGAGTTATTCTGCTTTTTTTTTTTTTTTTTCCCTAACAGAAGGAGCCTCTGATTTTCTGCAGGGGAGTGGAAGGAGGGAGAGAGTCCTGGGCCAGACCCGCTCAGGCGTCCATCTGCCCTTCTTTAAATAGGCCCTTCATCCTCGACCTATTTAGCGTTAAACTTTCCCCGGTATTTCATTCTTGTTTTCTCCCACTTCTTTGGCATCACTTTCCCTTGTCCCCCTAAACTTATATGCCCAATAATTGACTTTGTCCTCAGAGAGGTTGGGGTATAGAGGAAAGGCTTTGGGTCAGATGGGTCTGGGTCTGAAAACTGACGGCGCCGCCCCTTGCTCGGTGGTGACCTTTCCCAGCCCCCTCTTCTTCACCTGGGAGACACACTCCAGATGTGGTCTGTGGGCTGGAACCACAGGCTTCTGTGGCTTTGAACACTGCTACTCTCCTTTATCAATCACTCTCACGTGAAACTCAGTCTTTAATTCATAATGTGAACCACTGCTCATACCAAGCGTTCGAATTTAGTGGACTTTGCTAAAGATTTCTTGGGGACCAGGGGGTGGAACCGCGTCACACGCTGACAGTACCTTTCCACTTTTCTGTTGCCTCTCCTCCTCCTCCCTTCCTTCCACGATCACCCTGTGAACTTCAAATTCTTCTCTTCTTTCTCCCTCTGATGTCTTGTCAGCCAAATCGAGGCACTTGGGGTCCCAACTTTTACTCCAAGAACTCATCAATGTGTTTTTTCCAAGTAAAGACAGTTTTTCCTGCAAGAGGAATTCTCGTGGCAACTGTTAAAATACACGAGGGTACTTCAAAAAGTTTATGGAAAAATAGAATTCAAAGATAATACGAACCTTTCCATGAACTTTTTGAAGTACCCTCATATATAGGCTCAGTGGTTCAGTGGTTCAGTGGTTCTCACAACTACCCGGAGGACTTGCTAAACACAGACCGCTGGGCCCCACCCTCAGCGTTTCTGATTTAGTAGGTCTGGGGTGGGCCTGAAAACTGCATCGGTAGCATATTCCTGAGTGACGTTGATGTTGCAGGCCTGAGGACTACACTTTGAGAACCACTGCTACACCTTATTACAATAATTATCTTATAGTTTTCTGGGAGTGAGCATTAAATGGGCAAATCGGTGCCCAGCACCCAGCCCAGTGCCTGGCCCTCATGCACACTCAGTAAGTGCTGGCCATGATTCTGAGGGCCGGCCTGATGAGTCTCACTCCCTGTGGTGGGTGTTCACCACCACATCCCCTTCTGTCTGACACCACAGCCTTCCCTAAGCAGTTAATCCAGAAGAGGATACTGGAATTTATGCTGTTGCAGGGAATTGAACTGTGAGATTACTTAATCTAACCCTTTTGATTTGCACGAGGTGACTGAAGCCCAGAGAGGCAAAGTGACTTTGCCAAGGTCACTTGCCTTACAAGGCAAGTTAGAAGGCAGCATCTCTATCTTGTTTTTTCTTTAAGTGATGAAAGGGCTGGGTGGCATTTTCCCTGTCCTGTCCCCTTACCAACACCTCTGGGAATATATGACAAGTAAGACAAGTACTTATACCCCAACATTATTGGAATATTAATATTGAGACATACACATATTATATGTAAAGTATGTGATCTCATGGCTTTTGTAGTAGGACTGAAACCCACTGGTCTAGCTTGCTGCTCTCTTAAGAGAATGCCCAAGATGTCTATAACTGGGGACACCTGCTCCCTATCTGCTGGCTTAGCCCATCCCAGGGCTACGGAGTGTTGCTTCTCAAGGGAGCTGATGCACACGGCTTACATTCTCTGCGGTCCTGAGGTGTGCCCTCCCTGTCCACGTCTCCAGGGAGTAAAAGTAGAGCCTGTTCCTACCTGTTCAAGCCCAGCCTGTTGAATAAACAATAAAGGGACACATGACAACTCTGTACATGGTGCTGTGATGACTGAGTGGAGGATCCAGAGGTGGTCAAGAGCATCTGCCTCATGGCAGGTTCGTGATATTGATCTGCTTTTCCAAGAGAAAGGTCCAGCTGAAAACATGTCCTTGATTCCTAGGCTTTCTGCCTGTATCTTGGGCTCAGTTTCTTCCCTGGTAGGAAGGTGAGGCATGTGAGAAGGCTCCGAGGTTCTTTTTCCTCTCCTTGGATTTATAGCACTGCCAGTATCGGTGCAGCTTCTGTCACCCACACATTTCCTCTTCCCACAGGGAATGCTTTCATTAAGGGGACCAGCTGCGGTCCCACAGACATGCAGCCTTTCTCAGGGATGGAGCGGGTGGGCCGTGGTGGGCTAGGCCAATGGCGGCACCAGACCAAGCTGTGGCCATGTCCTGGCAGCCCCACCCTGGTAATGAGGGTACAGGCATGGACTTATCCTTTGAAGATGTGTCCCGAAGCTCTCTCCTGGTGATCAATGACAGCAGCCCTGAGTCCTTCTTTAGCCCAATGACACGTTTGGCCTCTTTATGAGGAAAGGAACTCCTCATTGGAAACCAAATTACAAATTAATTAGCAGTTTCCTCTGGGACCGACTGTAAACATCACCACCACTCCATGAGGACTTTCCATGGGAGCCCCTCACTCCAAGGGTATAAAAGGCCTGGGCAGGATGGGGTCTGTAGACATTCAGGAAGCTGCAGCTGAGGAGACAGAGCCTCCCCAACATGACATCCAACTACTATGTGACCAACAGCTCGCAGGCCTCCGTCAAGAGCTGCCCCCGGCCTTTCTCTGTCTGCTCTGGGAGCACGAACTGCCGGTCTGAGCTGTGCCTGGGCTATGCCCGCCAGCCCATGACACACATGCCTTCTGTCTGCATGCCCACTACCTACCGGCCATCCAGTTGCCTCTCCAAGACCTACCTGTCCAGCTCCTGTTGGCCCAGCAGCTGTTGGCCAGCCAGTGGCGTCTCTAGCTCCCTGGCTACCTGTGGCTGGTACTGTGAAGGGGCCTTCAATGGCAGTGAGAAGGAGACCATGCAATTCCTGAACGACCGCCTGGCCAGCTACCTGGAGAAGGTGCGCCAGCTGGAGCGGGAGAACGCGGAGCTGGAGAGCAAGATCCAAGAGGCTTGCCAGGCCCAGGTGGTCACCATGTGTCCTGACTACCAGTCTTATTTCAGGACCATTGAGGAGCTCCAGCAGAAGGTAAGAGCAAATGGTGAACGGGCTCGCCAGGAAGGTAAGCTGGCTGGCTGGCATTCCAGATGCAAATCTCATTAACTTATTAAGTTATGTTTAGGGAAAAGAGACCTCCCTAGGGCGTAGGATTATTGCATAATTTGAACTTTTAGCCAGCGCCCTTAACATGGAAAGAGACCTGGGATCTAGTCTCAGTTCAATCATTAACTCATTGCATGACTTTGGGAAGTCCCTTCCCTTCCCCAGGTCTTAGTTTCCTTATCTGTAAAGTGGGGATAATGATGATCCTTATCTAATGGGGTTGTCAAGAGGATTCAGTGAGATGATGCAGGCAAAGTGCCTGGAAAGCCCCTGGTACCTGGTTAGTTTTCAGCAAATATCAAGGACCTTTTTAAACTGTCACATGAGTGACTTTCGACACGAGATTCTTTCCTTCTACATTGCTCACCGCATCCAACATGGTGCGTTTGCCTTTACGAAGACCTAGGTGCTTAAAAAGTAAATCTCAAGTTCTCCAAGGACTAAATATCCCCTACAATTCCAGGGGAGAAGGGCCTCTGCGGGGATAGCTGTGGGGCTACTGAGTCCTGCTTTTGCTACTGACTTCTCATTCAGATTCTTTTTACTTATCCTGGAATAACCCCCTCCATATGTCTTGGCCCACAGGTTCTGTGCACCAGGGCGGAGAATGCCAGGATAGTCGTGAACATTGATAATGCCAAGCTGGCTGCTGACGATTTCAGGACCAAGTGAGTTTGGCCAGGGGACTGGGGGACAGTGGGAGGCATCTCCCTGCACACTCTTGGGGCAGCTGTCCATTAGCTTCACAGAGGGTTGGAAAGCACCGGCAGCTCAAGGCCTTCCCTGAGTTCTGTATTCAGCTCCACCCCTCAGTTGCTGACCCTGTCCTTGGGCAGGTATGAGACGGAGCTGTCCCTGCGGCAGCTGGTGGAGTCGGACATCAACGGCCTGCGCAGGGTCCTGGACGATCTGACCCTGTGCAAGGCCGACCTGGAGGCCCAGGTGGAGTCGCTGAAGGAGGAGCTGCTCTGCCTCAAGAGCAACCATGAGGAGGTGAGGCCAGAAGTCATGCTGCGGTGGCCCCGCAGTTTGGGGTTGGATGCATGTGGGTTGAAATTGCTGGGCCTGTCCTGTATCGTTCTGTGACTTTGTCCAGTTTATGTAAACTTTCTGAGCCTCCTCATCTGCAAAACGGGGTTACAGTGCTATATAGGGTTATTGTGAGAATTTAATGGGTGTGATATGGATCATGGGTATGACCCAGGCCATGGATATTAAACCCTTGTCATGTGATAGGTGCTCAGAAATAGTCCCTTTCCCTTCGTCATTTCCTGGAGGAGTGTGACTGCCAGATACTCGCTTGTGGCAACTGCATTTGTTTTCTCATGACAGTCACATACTAGAGGTAGAGTGGTGCACCAGGGACAGGAATAGGTTATTTTCTGCAACTCATATCAAATGTCCTGTCCCTCTCTGCCAGGCTACATTGCTGGGGGGGCCCTAACTCTTCCAAGGGAGAGGTGAACTGCAGGGATTTTCTTCTCTTTTCTATCCCATCCTTGTCTCCCTTCTTCTCTTCTGTTTGCGTATAACATACTTAAGCTGAGGCCACAGGCAAATCCTTTACTTTCTGGCATTTCCTTATCTCCTGCAGGTCCTGGGAGGGAAAGACCTGTGTCCTGGGAACCCATGTGCTGTAAAGCCCACCTGAGCGACGGTGTTTTTCCCCTCTATCCCTGGGTTGACTCGCAACCTACTGACTTGGGATTTGAATGAACAAGTGCCTCTGAATCCTGGCTGGGTTCCCTTAGGCTTAAGTATAAAGTAGCAATCAGTCACTGTGTACTCACTGAGCACCCTAGGGCGCTTGACTCATGCTACTTAAGTCAGAGAACTGGGAACTGCACCAAGAAGCCACTAATGAGGAGTTATTGCACACTCTGGCAGCCTCAGTGACAACTTTCTCTCTTTGGCAGCCAAGCCTGGGGAGGCACCCACTCTAACTTGGGCCAAGGGAGGCTGGGCTCCTGCTGTCCCCCTTCCCAGGTGAACACAGGCTGGGAGGGTAACTGGGAATGCTGGGGATGCAGGTTTCCCATTTTAGCCCAAATGCATCAAACAAACTCTGATGCTGCTCTTAGCTTTTACTGAAGTGACAGGCAGTGTTGTGTTGGTGTGAGCCTCCCATCATGGGGGTGTCCAGCCAGAGCTGGAAGACCATCAAAATAGTGCAGAGTGGACTGCAGTCCTCAAAGGGTCGTTCCAATGTTGAGATCTTTGGCATCTTTTTTTGCATCTTTTCTTGTCTCCCTGGGGAGTTGAGATGGAATTGTGTGATTTTCACATTCTCCTGGGGTCCTTGTGCCTTTTCAGGAAGTTAATGCCCTTCGGTGCCAGCTTGGGGACCGCCTCAACATCGAGGTGGATGCTGCGCCCCCTGTAGACCTGACCAGGATGCTGGAGGAGATGCGGTGTCAGTATGAGACCATGGTGGAGGCCAACCGCAGGGATGTGGAGGAATGGTTCAACACACAGGTGGGCCTCTTGCAGGTGGGCCGGTCTCCTCAGTGTCCCTGGAAAGTCACTCCCAGCCTTCTCCTTCTTCCCATTACAGATGGAGGAGCTGAACCAGCAGGTGGCCACAAGCTCTGAGCAGCTTCAGAGCTACCAGTCGGACATCATTGATCTGAGACGAACTGTCAACACGCTGGAGATCGAGCTGCAGGCCCAGCACAGCCTGGTGAGTGCTGCGGGGTGGGCACCTTTCCCCAGCTCTGGATCCGAGGCAGCACTGAGCATGGCTGCAGGCATTTAGGAAGGAGGAAGAGGAGGCCCAGATTTCAGCCACCGCTCTGCAGTGCTCACCCAGCCGAACTTTCATGGAGGGGAGCTTCTCCCAAAATCCAGCTCAGAGATAAAAGGGACATGTCTCAAATCAGATGGGGGTTAGGTGGACACTGTCAAACACAACTCCCTGAGAAGGCTTATTCTTTGTTAGCCTGTCCTTCCCAACCTGTGGTCCTCAATATCACTCCAAGAGATTTTAGAAGTCCTGGTGTCCAGGTTCTTCTCCAGACCAATTGAACCAGAGTCTTTGGAGGGGGGGGCGGGGCTGGGCATGAGTATTTTTAAAGGGCTCCCATATGACTCTCATGTGCAGTCAGGGTTGAAAACCACTGTTGTCATGATGCCATAGGGAAGGTACTCAGTGAACCTGAGATCCAAAGCTCAAAACCAAAGAGGTTGTAAAAGGGATTTAGGATCAGTTTTAAGACTTGGGTTCAGACCCTTGTTCTATCATATACCAGGTGTTTAACCTTGAACAAGTCCCTTGACCTTTCTGGGCTTCAGTTTCTGCAGTGACGTAGGTAGGGAGGGGTCATTTCCAACCCCAAAGAGAGACTTGGCTCTTCTTGGTTCTTTGAACCAAGCCATGGAAAATAGCTCCCCCTCTCGTGGTTATATCTTTCCTTTGCTTTAGAGGAACTCTCTAGAAAATACACTGACAGAGACTGAGGCCCGCTACAGCTCGCAGCTGGCCCAGCTGCAGTGCATGATCACCAATGTGGAGGCCCAGCTGGCCGAGATCCGCTGTGACCTGGAGCGGCAGAACCAGGAGTACCAGGTGCTGCTGGACGTCCGGGCCCGGCTGGAGTGTGAGATCAACACGTACCGGAGCCTGCTGGAGAGCGAGGACTGCAAGTACGTGGGCCCAGCCAAGGCTCTACAGAGAGATGTGTGCGAGGGCTGGGGGAGGTGACAGGAGGCAGCTGGAACTATCCTTAAGGCACCATCAGCTTAGAACCTGTCATGGTTAAAAAGCCACTAGGAGGCTGGTATGTTCCAAAGAAAGTCAGGCAATTGTGTTCAGGCTGCTGCCCTGAACCTGGCCCACTGGACTACTCTGGTCCACTCCAAGTTGACAAACTCCTTCCACGTGCCTACCACATGCCAGGTGGTATGCAGGACATTGAGATCAGTGACAACAAGGCATCTGCTCTCAAATTGCTTCCATCTGTTGGGGAGCTGGGCAGACAGGTGCCTGGAGAGCATGCTGCAGGGAGAAGTTTTGGCGTGTCGAGAGGACAGGAGGTGGCTTAGTGCAATTGGACTGTGGCGGGAAGCAGGGCAGGAAAGGTCACTTGGTGCCCACTGATGGGGAACCATGAAGGTCATGCGGGGAAGGGAGGACTTTATTTTACAGGCAAGTGAGAGGGCTTACTTATTTTTGAGGAGGAAATGATAGAATTTACTTAACTGCCTGTCTTTCCAACTGGATGGTAAACAGCTAGTATGCAGAGACAATATAATACATTTTCTCCCTGCACTTGGCACAGAGTAGACGCTCTGTAAACGTTTCTTGGCTGAGTTGATAAAAGCTTAAGCTGCCTTTAGGAAGATCACCCTGATGGCAGTAGGAAGAACTGAGTAGAGAGAGGGAGGACCAGGCAGGGAAACTGTTCAGGAGACCCTGGCCATGGCCTGAGTCGTCCATGGGGAGAGCCCGAATCAAAGCAGTGGAGGAATGCGTCCCAGATGCTGTGCAGGTAGAATCAGCGGGACTTGGTGGCTGTCTGGATGCGGGATGGCTCCGGGCCATGGGCACCTGGCGGGCTGATTGCTGTTGTAGTGGTTTCTTATTCTACATTGAGCCTTCCTCTCTGTCATTCAGAATCTTATCCTTCAGAGCAAGTGTTGCAAAGTTTAACATTTGCAAGGACCAGTCCGGTGACATACATGAGGGACGTGGTTCATGTGGGGACTGTGGGAAACCAGGGAGCTCATACCTTGTCCAGTGAGGGCAGTGCCATCTTCTCAGGACCATTTTTACCATGGGAGATGTAGGTTCAGTATTGCTGGGTCTTCTGATTGTTCAAGGGAAGCCAGGAATCTGGACTTTTTAAGTGGTAAATTCTCCTGATCTTTGAATATTTTCAACAAATTAAAAAAAAAACATAGTGCCAGCCAAATGAAACACATTTCAGGCTATATGTGGTCTTCAGGCTGCCCATTGGATCCTGAGCTATTTGGTCTCCATCCAATATACAGAGTGTTGTTTCTGGTTTTGAGCCCAGGCCTGTCAGTCTCTGAGATCATCCTCTTTCCTTTCACCCTGTATTCACTCTATTTTTATTTATTGTTTCACCTTATTCAACATATCCTTATTAAGTGCCTGTTCCATGCCAGGTATACAGGGTGGGCATATATATACACAGCTGTTGACCTCACTGCCCAGTAGGGGAGACAGACCATAATGGAATTACGAATCAATATGGAAGGAGCCACATGGTGCCATAGGGGGACTGGACACAGAGAGATCAGGGGAGGGTTTGAGGTGTGACAGTTGAGTCGAGCTCTTAAGGAAGCAAAGACATGTTAGGTGCATGGAGAGGGAAGAGTGCACTACGAGGTGGAAATAGGGCACAAGGTCGGTGGCCTGAGCGACATGGTCCACGGAGGGACTGCAGGGAGGTCAGAGTACATGGAGCTCAGACAGCAACGGGACTGTGAGGCGGGGCCGGGGCGAGAGGTGGGAGCAGGATCGTGCTGGTCCTGTCAAGGAAGCCTCTTTTCATCCTAAGCACAAATGGGAACCACTGAAGGTTTTAGGCAGGGGAGGGACGTGATTCAACTGTGTCTGTAGAAGACCACTCTGGCCGCAGCACTGACGGTGGTTGGGAGGGGCAAGGGTGCGGTTGGGGAGATCGGTTAGGAGGCTGTTGTAGTAACACAGGCAAAGACGGTGGAGGCTGGGGTTTGGGAAGGTGGACGGAGACGTGACTCAGTGGAGGGGTTTGAGAGGCATCCAGGAGTAGAGTGGGCAGGAGCTGCTGCTGAGTTGGGCTTCTCTACCAACCCTGCCCTACCGTGGCTTTCTCCTGCAGGTTGCCCTGTAACCCACGCTCCACTCCTTCCTGCCCGCCTTGTGCATCCTCCCCCTGTGTGCCCCGCACTGTCTGTGTGCCCCGCACCATCTGTATGCCTTGCTCACCCTGCCCCCCGGGCCGCTTCTGAAGACCCTCAGCACCGGTGGATCCTGAAGGGACTGGAGCTGGGCAGCCTGGTGCCAAGAAAGCCAGTGTGGAAGGCCCTGTGCAGGACCAGAAAGTGGACCATCTGCAACGTGTTCTGATTTTGCAGGGGTGCCCTAGCCCTCACCGCTGCAAAACTGCCTCTTCCATTTCCATGGGCAAACCGTTCTCTTTGGTGATGTTTCTGGTTGTCTATGCTGCCTCAAAGAGCATGTATTCTTAGTTAACTGGCAATAAAGCTTTATTCAGTGGCCCTGCAAACACAGCTTTCTCTATTTGTCACTTATACTGCTGTGTCCACAAGCCAATTCTACTCAACTGGGCTCAAGAGGAATGTAGCCAAATCCTACATATGTTTTTATGTCCCTTCAGCTTCCACAGAGGCTTGAGAGGTGCACACTCAAAGGGCCTGCATGCCAGAAACCAGTTAAAACCAGACAGTCGTTCCAGAACCAAGTAATAAAAGAATAAAGAGAAGACGGAGATAATTATGCCAGAAACCTACGCCAAACTACTGTAATTGAGAATAATACTGTAATAAATCCACCCCTAAATCCCATTACAGCTGGTACAATAGGATCATTCATTCATTCAAAAAGTCCTCACTGAGTGCTCACTAGGTGCAGGTTCTGCATTAAGGGCTGGCTAACCCAGGTGATAGTCCCCAGACACTTTATTAATAATGCCTCATTTAGCCTTGCAGCAATCTATGAAAAAGGTATCATTATTTTCTCCTCTTTTTTTTTTTTTTTTTTGTCTTTTGTCTTTTTTCCGTGTCCGGCAACAGATCA